TACTGGACAAATAAAAAGAACACTGGAGGCAAAAATCTATTCATATTACAATGGAAGGACTACATCTTAAACCTACAAAAAACAAAGTCTCCCTACTATGCTTTCCAAAGGAAAGTGACTTTCTTTTACTTCGAATGCATACTAGCCTCTCAACCAAAAGTTATTATTAATGTCAATTAGTAACATCATTATGAATTAAAGTCTATTAGTAATATCATTATGAACTAATTTATTGCCTACCACATTTTTGGAGGAAAAGTAAAAAAGTCAAGCCAAATATATATCTTTTTTTAAAAAAGGTAATTGTAATGACTAATGTGAATAGTATCCAATTTTCTAAAACAATTATATTCCTTCACAGCTAACTTTCCTGATCAATTTTTCCTATTAGGGCTACTGACTCAAAGAAAAATAGAAGGCATATAATATTAATACAATCTAAAATTTTTAAGGTAAATATAATGCATTTTACTTATCAACTTTAAAAATTGCAAACATTGAATATTATAATAAAATCATTACTTTTAAATGTCCATATTTTGGTATATTTCATTTATTCAGTCATTGAACATTTATGGGAAGGTCTATGCTGTACAACAAACATCCTGTGGCCAGTTTAATATTAGAAACAAAGGAAGGAATGGAAAAAACATTAAGTAAACACAATGCAACTCCACAATGAAATTTTTAAAAACCATATATAGAAGAGAGAAATTTCAGATTGCCAGCCTCAGTGTTTATGTCTTTACAACTACATATACAAATACAGAAATAGTCATTCATTCACTCAACAAATACCAAGCAATCATTAAACAGAAGACAATACTAGGCTATACGATGAAAGAGTAGTACTAACACTCAAGCTGCTTAAAATTAAGTTGAAGTCAACTTTAGTATTTACCACTCTAGATCTTATACTTTAAGAAATCAACATATTCAATAAAGACAATGAAAATTTGTGTTAGCACTCACTTAAAAATTTAGAACCACAAAATGCATCTGTTTACTTAGTATTTTATGTTTAAAGTTTCACTCTGAACTTTATACATTAAAAATACTCATGTAGATTTGAAAACTCTTTTCACAAACGTAGAGAAGAAAATAACAAAAATAAACTTATAAGGATATTTTATATTTAAATATGAATTTAATGACCTGAGATAGAACTGATTAATTCCAACTTTAAAAAACAGAAACTGCTTTTATATTCACACCAAGAGATACAAATAAAGTTATGTCATTTGTTCTTAATATTTAGTCAACTTCAAAATTAATATAATGTTGAGTACAGTCTTTCCCACAAGAAATCTACTAGTGTTAGCAAAAATATTCAAAACAAAATTTTGTATTTAATGTATGGGAAGATATATGAAATTAAGAAATGTTGAATAGATTTCAAGTATTAAAACCCAAAAAAACAAAAACAAAACAAGTATCGAATAATTCAGTGATATAAAAAATATAAACAGCTGTTACATAAATTTAGTATTATTGATTTGTATAGATCAGATGAGTTTAACCTTAAAGCAAAGTTTATTTGACCTTCAAAAAATTCAGGTGGGTCTTTAACAACCAAGGCATTAATCATAATATTAAGAGGCCAATAATGCAAGAGGCCAGAATCCTACCTTAATGAACTGATAGTAAATTTCTTAGATTCATTATTTTCTTAAAATTTATGTCTAGAGTCTCTGAATCCCCTCTAGCTGATTATGGGAAAAAGAAAGAGAGTAGGAGAAATAAACTTTTCAAACCAGAACCCAATTTTTTCCAGGTTACTTTCCTTCAGTTTACCTAACAAACTTGCAGAGTTGGTTAAAAATAGGAGGTACATTATTTTGTAAATAAAAAAGCGTTTCTATCATTTGAATTTCACCATTTCTGTGTTATGTTTCACACAAATGTCTAAACTTAGTGTTGCCTCACCAAATTCAAGAAATAAATGTAAACCTCAAAATGTTTTGAAAAATCAAAATTTATATGCCTTTGATAAGAAATTATCAGAAAGTTGGCCGGGCACAGTGGCTCACGCCTGTAATCCCAGCACTTTGGGAGGCCAAGGTCGGCGGATGACCTAAGGTCAGAAGCTTGAGACCAGCCTGACCAACATGGAGAAACCCTATGTCTACTAAAAATACAAAATTACCTGGGCATGGCGGTGCATGCCTGTAATCCCAGCTACTTGGGAGGCTGAAGCAGGAGAATCGCTTGAACCCAGGAGGCAGAGGTTGCAGTGAGCCAAGATCGCGCCATTGCACTCCAGCCTGGGCAACAAGAGCGAAACTCCATCTCAAAAAAAAAAGAGAAAAAGAAAAAGAAAAAAAGAAATTATCAGAAAGTAAAAAGTGTGGTATCTACAATTAATAGGGGTTGGTTAAGACTAGCAGATATATTAGCAAACTGTATAGGACAAAACACAATTTAATGACAAATTGTATGGCAGACTAAGCACTATAGGAAATCAATGAAGGGACTACTGATGAAAATAACATTATAGTTCAAAACGGTCTGAGAAAACAAAATTTTCTTTCTTTTTTTGATATGAGTTTTACTGTCGTCACACAGACTGGAGTGCAAGGGGGTGATATGGAATCACTGCAACCTCCAACTCCTGGGTTCAAGCAATTCTCCTGCCTTAGCCTCCCAGGTAGCTGGGACTACAGGTGCACACCACCATGCTGGGCTAATTTTTATATTGTATTTTTTGTATAGATGAGGTTTTGCTATGTTGCCCAGGCTGGTCTCGAACTTCTGGGTTCAAGCAATCTGGCCACCTGGGCCTCCCACAGTGCTGGGATTATAGGCGTGAGCCACCACACCCTGACCAAAAGTTTCTTATTCTTGTTTCTAGCTTAAAAAAGACAAATCGCTCCATTAGCTCTTCTCAACAACAAAAAATACTTAATTTACTGAATGTGCCCACTAAATTATATTTAAATACTTCAAAAGTATTGTATACACAAAAATTGGTAAACTTTCAGACTTCTTTCAGAACACATGTACCTAATAATTCTTGTAGCTATAAGTATCAATGATGCAATGTTGAGAAAATAGCATGTTACAAGAGAGTAAGCATATGTTTAGAGTCATATATGTGAGCAAAATCCTGTTTCTGCCACTTACTTGGCTTTTTAACCATGGGTAAGTTACTTAACCCATGCTGAGTCTGTTTCTTCTTAAGTGAAATAAGGATAACAACTACCTGCTAGGGTTGTTGAAAGAATTAAATGAGATATCATATGTTAAATAACTAGCACAATGCCAGCCAGAAAAATAATCTGTGCTTATTAACTACTATAAATTCCACATGCAAACAAATTTCAACTACAGTGATATCAGAACACTAGAAGACTAGAATGCCCACTTTGCTTTATATTTTATTTCTCACCATAAAAACTAATACACTGACCTTCTATTTCTTAGTAAACATCAATGTGTTTGGTTTCCAATTCTGTAATTCTCATTTATGTTTGAGAATTTGAAAAAGTTTTTTTTTAACTTTTATTTTAAGTTCAGGGGTACAAGTGCAGGTTTGTTACATAGATAAACTTGTGTCATGTGGGTTTGTTATACAGATTATTTCATCGCCCAGGTTTTAACCCTAATGCCCATTAGTTAATTATTCCTGATCCTCTCCCTCCTCCCACCCTGCACCCTTTAAAAGGCCCCAGTAAGTGTTGTTCCCCTGTACGTATCCATGTGTGACAGACTTCTTTTCTCCAAAATGCCATATATATAAACAGTAATTTACATTAATTTGGGAACAGTAATAGATTCCCTGAAAACTAGATTAAAAATTATGCTTTTTAGACCATTTCAATTAAAATTTAGTCAATTAAATAAAATTAAAAACTCATTTCCTTAGTATCACTGGCCAAATCTTAAGTGTTTAATATCCACATAAGGCTAGTGCCTATTGGATAGCACACATATAAAGGATCCATCATCTCAGAAGTTTCTATTGGACAGAGCTGGTCTGTAGTGTTATCATGGTGTGATAATTGAAACTACTTTTCTCTGCTTTTTATTTTTTAATATCGTGATACCTGTCTCTCAAGTACATGCCCCAAAAGGCAGAGGCTGTGAACATGTTGCTCACAACTGAATCTTAGTGTCTAGCACATTATACGCATTCAATAGATATCTTACAGCTGACATTATAGTTTTGTTTTAGTTATACTAAGCTAGCAAAAACTGAGTTGGTAAAGGCCAGTTCTGAAAGCTATAAGTACAACGAGTAGACAGTTAAGGAAAAAAAGTAGTAAGTCAACACACATGTGCTCTCAACTGATACGCTCCCAAAGACAATGAGGGCTCCGTATGTACAGACTAAGATTTTTTAGTTAGATACACATATTAACTAGATCACTTAAACAAAGATTAGGCCTTGTCCACAGCCTATTCTATTCAAGAATAGAAAAAATGCCTATTTATAGCTCAATAATTTCATTATTCCCGTATGGGTTTTTCCTAGTTTGGTAAATTTATTTTTAAATAGTATTTATATACTCACACACAATAATTTAACAAATAAAACATTTTAAAAATTCACCGAAAGTTTTATAACATAAAAGATTATGGTGGCTGGGTGTGGTGGCTCACACCTGGAATCCCAGCACTTTGGGAGGCCGAGGTGGGTGGATCACAAGGTCAGGAGTTCGAGACCAGTCTGACCAACATGGTGAAACCCTGCCTCTACTAAAACTACAAAAATTAGCTGGGTGTGGTGGCACACACCTGTAACCCCAGCTACTCAGGAGGCTAAAGCAGGAGAATTGTTTGCACTTGGGAGGCGGAGGTTGCAGTGAGCAGGATTGCACCAGTACACTCCAGCCTGGATGACGGAGCGAGACTCCATCTCAAAAATAAAAATTTTTAAAACAAAAAGAGTATAGCATCAAGATTTTAGAAAATCCATTTCTTGTCAATGTACCTGGAAACTAAGATAATTGCTGCTATATATGGAATAGAAAATAGTCTAATAATAATTTTGCACTTACACTGCCATATTTTTTCTAAGGGTATATTCATCCAAATCGTCATCAGAGCTGCTATCAGTTGCATCGGAATCCAAACCCTCTTCAACATGAGACAACAGCCCTGTAGCAGACAACGCAAATCTTTGGATTTCCGCAGCTGTACACCGTGCAAAGCCATTTTTTGCATCATCCCACAATTTATTCTCTGCAGTCAATGTGTTAACTTCTGGCTTAATTTCAGTGCATTTAGGTAAACTGTTACTCAAAATTGTGGTAGGTTCATGAAACATCTTCATTTTGGGGAGTTGGTGTTTCATAGACAATTTCATCTGCTGACCATAGTGCTTAACAACATGCTTTGCCAGGAGCATCTGCAAATGTTTCTGAGTTCTTCTAGCCTGGCTAAGTAAAATTTTCTGTTTGCTTACACAATGAAGTAAACGAGCATTTACTTCCTCCTCTTTTTCAGCAGCTGAAGAACTAATAGACACATTTGAGTGGCCAGCTACAATTTTCTTTTGAGCACAGTGCAATAAACCCTTTTTAATCTCAGCATCAGTAACTTTATCCAAAAGTGCATTCTCTTGATACCATTTACAGTTTTGTAGTTGTACTTTATCTACATTAGTGTCTTTGGTTATATTTGAATCCAAAATAATTTGTACATCTTTCATGCACTGGCTCGTGGTATCTGATAAAGGTTCCTTTTTGATGAACTCTTCAGAATGAGAAAGACAGATTTTACCAAGCTGAATGTTGCTGCCATTATACAGTATGTTTTTCAGCTTATTGCAACTGGGCTCCCCTAATTTCTTTTGTTTATAATTCTCATTGTATTTATTTAATGTAGAATTAGATCTCATTAGAAAAACAGTCTGGTAATGTTTTGAAGACTGAGGGGAGCCAAAATGTTTTAAATTCACAAAATTAGTATTAAGAGTAGATTCGGGAGTTGGAAATCCAAGCATCTGAGAAAAGGTGTCTCCCTTTAGCTTTTCATCTACAGTTCTTGGACTTTCCATGTAGAGCATCTTGTCAGACTCCATGGTACTTGGCAAAGATGAAAAGCCGATACCCTTTGCTGTTGCCTCCCTCAGAGCTGGGGTCATGGCGATTCCTGTAGATAAGTAATGGAAACCTACAATAATGTAAAAATAAATGGTCAAATATCTAGAAAAAAATTTTATGCTTATACTTTTTTCTAAGGGCAACATGTTCGATATTTCTCATTAAAACATGAAGGAACAAAACTCCTCCTTCATCTCCCAACTCCCAACATTATTTCAACAAAGATAAAGCTATTCTTCCCTCTGACTGGGGGCCTAATAGCTAAAGCTCCAATTAAAGCTACACATTGCTAGTACACAATAGGTGTTCAACAAATATTTGTGGATGTAATTACATCTCAGAATTCCATTTTTTTACATTTAGTTACAGTCCAAAGAAAAAATATTCCAGCCTAGAATCTGATAATAACAATTGAAAATGTGACTTAATTGCGCGCTTTCAGTCAAAAATACGAATTACTTATCTTTATAAAATATAATAAATTGCTCTAAAGTTCCATTCCTGAATTTAATCATCACAGCCTGAACGGTATTAATAACAAGAATTAAAATATAATAAATAATGTGTAAGAAGACCTAAGTGAGGCCGGATGTGGTAGCTCACACCTGTAATCCCAGCACTTTGGGAGGCCGAGGTGGGCGGATCACCTGAGATCAGGAGTTGGAGTTTACCACGGCCAATGTGGCAAAACTCTGTCTCTACTAAAAATATAAAAATTAGCCAGGCATGGTGGTGGGCAACTGTAATCCCAGCTACTTGGGAGGCTGAGGCAGGAGAATCGCTTGAACCCGGGAGGCAGAGGTTGAAGTGAGCAGAGATCACGCCAATGCACTCCAGCCTGTGCAACAGAGTGAGACTCAAAAAAAAAAAAGAAGACAACCTAAGTGAACAGAACTAAAAACATATAACTTCACAGCTGTTAAAAATATGTAATAGTAAAAACTTGCCTAATGCAATGTTTCCTCTAAAAATATCTGCAATTTTACCCTTTTCACAAATGAATATGCACCAGAAGGCATTACTCCTGCCTAGAAAATAGTGGAGACAGTGTCAGATAACCACTAAAGATTTATCCCATAATTAAACAAATTTCATTGCATATTATCAAAAGTATAAATCCATATATTGATTCACAGAAAAAGGCAACCCAGTACCATTAAACATTACGAAGCCTGGTTAGTAAAATAATTGTACATCATCAACAATTATAACTTTTTAAAGATACCTAGTATTTTGTAACCTTGATATGCCATAATTTTTGTTTCAACACATAACAGTTGATAGTCATTTAAATGGATACACTCTCACAGTTTCTGTCCCCAAGTGCTAGTTATAACTCTACTTCCTTTATTCCTACTTAAAAACACAAAACCAAAAGCTGATTCTTTACAAAGTCCAACAAAAATGATCAAGAAGAAAATAAAAGCACAACAATGTCTATGTAATAATAAAAAAAAAGGGTTATTAGCAAAATGACAGAGTAGGAGAAAATATTTGCAACATATATATCAGACAAGTATTAGTATCTAGATTATAGGAGGAATTTCTACAAATGAGCAAAAGATAGACCAGTCAGGCACTTCACAGATGATGATATTCAAATGGTCACTAAACACAGACTTAATCATACTAGTAATCAGGGGAATATAGATTAACAAAACAAGAGCCCAGTTTTCCAATCACCAAACTGATACAGACTTTTTTTCTGAAAACATCACATACATATCATGAGATGTAAGACTTCTCATATCTATTGGGATCATAAATTGGTTCAGTAATTTGACCACAATGTAGAAAATGTGTTTGTCACAGGTATCAAAGAGTAATGTTCGTAATGGCAAAACATCCTTTCAAAACAATCTAGATGCCTAACAATAACAAAATAGATTTTAAAAAATGTAACGGAATACTATATTGCAGTTAAAAAGGAATGACTTAAAGCATCAATACGGAAAGACCTTAAAAACAATATCAAGTTAAAAAGAAAAAAGAACACTGTAAAACATATATAGTATAGTACCATATAAATATAATACAAACATAAAACCTTACCATATATATGTATACATTCGTGTCTGTCTGCAAGAATAAAAAGTGAACCAGAAAAATATCTACCAAACTTGTACCAGTAGTTGCATCAAGTTAGGTTCCATAAAACAGAATTAAAAGTAATAGTTTAAGGGGATTTGCATTTTAACTACAAAATCTTACTACTTGAAGGGAAAAGACTAAATGCAAAATGAATAAATGTTAATAGTTGTTAATACTGAGTGAAAAAAATTAGACTTTTTTTATGTATACACTTTATTGTATGTCTCAATGAGTTTTCCCCAAATTCAGTATGTCTCAAAATTTATACACTTTTATATAATGCCTCAAAAATAAGCAAATAGATTCCCATTTATCCTATATGGAAAAAAAAAAAAAGAATTTTTTTTTTTCAGTTTATACTCTTCTTTTATGGAAATAGAAAAACAATTCTAAAACAAGCTAGCATTAGGAAATTTCTTCCAAGATTCAAGTTGTTCCGTGACCAACTCAAAGACCTGTATCTTCTAATCAATAAACACCCATAATAGTATTTAGTGTCTACATTGTTCTCTGAGGCAAACTGCTTTAATCACAGTTCTTGTTAATGTTACAGCAATATTCAAAAGATACTAAACTTTATCTCCCACACCACACACCTGTCCCTCTCAAAAATCTGAACAGAGTGCTATGAATATAATCAAACTAGCTAGCAGCAGGGACAGAGGTGAAATATCAAAAGGCAGGAGAATTCATCTTAGTCCCTGGATAAAGATAGGGAAAAGCTAAATATAACAAGTAGAGAAATGAGGCTGGGTGCAATTGCTCATGCCTGTAATCTGAGCACTTTGGGAAGTCAAGGTGAAGGATTGCTTGAGTACAGGAGTTCGAGACCAGCCTGGATGACATAGGGAGACCTCTTCTCTACAAATACTAAAAAATGTCCTATGTGTGGTGACATGTGCCAGTGGTACCAGCTACTTGAGAGGCTAAGGCAGGAAGATCACTTGAGCCTGGACGTTGAAGCTGCAGTGAGCTGTGATTATACCACTGCCCTTCAGCCTGAGCAACAGAGCAAGACACTGTCTCAAAAAAAAAAAAAAAAAAAAGATACACATGGCTGGGCACAGTGGCTCATGCCTATAATCCCGGCACTTTGGGAGGCCAAAGAGGTGGATCATTTGAGCCCAGGACTTCAAGACCAACCTAGGCAATATGGTGAAATCCAGGCTCTACAAAAAAAAAAAAAAAATAGTGCCACTGCACTCCAGCTTGAGTGACAGAGCAAGACCCTGTCCAAAAAAAAAAGCAGATTAGTATTTAAGAAATACAATTCGTAGGAAAAAGAGAAAGGGAAAAAAATGCAAAGATTAAAAGTGGCTAAGGCCCATTTATGGTAGAGAACTAGAAAAAAACATATACACAAAATCTCTGGTGAGATTTCTAGGCCTTACTGGTAGGATAAGTAGCTTCCAAAATGACCTTAATAATCCCCACCCTCTTAGTATTCATGCCCTTGTTTAATCCTCTCCTAGAATAAGGACTGGATTTAGTGACTCACTTTTAATGAAAATGTAGCAGAGGTGATGAGATGACTTCTGAGATTAGGTTACAAAGAGACTGTGGCTTCCATCTGGCCACCCTCTCTTATTCAGGAAAGCCAGCTGCCATGTTATGAAGTGGAAAGACCAACATGGTAAAGAAACAATGTCTTCAACGAACATATAGCAAAGAATCTGAAGCCTGCTAACAGCAATGTGAGTGATCTGAGAAACAGATCCTTCCCAGTAATGCCTTGAGATGACTGTTGCTCTAGCCAATACCTTGATTAACAACAGCCTTATGGAGACCTTGAGCCAGAGGCACCCAGCTAAGCTTACATGCCTAGATTCTCAACCCACAGAAATCATGAAATAGTATGTAATTTAAGCCACTAAATTTGGGGGTAACATATTACACAGTAATAAATAATGAACACACTTGGATATGAAGACTTTTAAGCTCTGGTCTATGAAAGACCTGGATATATCATAGCTCTTATTCTGCGATTTCCAAACCTAGCCTAAATAAGTCTCTCTACTTTGCAACCAAAAGAAACTAATGAAAATAGCTATGTCTCCTATAAATAAAAAAGATTAAATTATGTTCAGTATAGCTTTAGCATAAAATATAAGATTTCTTCCAATTATTTAAATTATCTAGATATATAATCACTTTATATAACAATGTTTCCCAATTGAATATTCCAAACTACCACTTCTGATGACCTTCATATTATATAAACAACTACACTTACCACTAACACTTCTAAGCTCTTCAAAGGCTTAGATTTTTGAACAGTTTTATTAACTACTGTATTCTCAACATGCAAATCTATCTGACACACAGAAGATGCCCAACAAATACCTGGTGAGAAAATGAGTGGTTGCCAGTATATTTAAAATCCAAAGTTGTCCTTACTATAGCCTACAAAATTGGTATTATCAGGTTCCTGACTACTTTGCCTTCTACAACTCTTTCCATGAATTACTACACTCCAGAAACACTGGCCTCTATGCTATATTTGAAACACACCAAGCAAGTCTCTGACACAGGGACTTTGTGTTTGCTATTCTCTCAGCCTGAAAAATTTTTTTACAAATAAGATGGCTGGCTCCCTCACTTCATTTGTTTCTCTTCTAAGGTCACCTCATTAGAGTCCTTCACTGACCAATATATTTAAAATAGCTTCAGCCTCTTGGTTCATGATTCTCCATTCCCTTACACTGCTTTATTGCTCTTCATAGCTACCTGACATTATATTACATTCTAGGAAAGAATGTAGTTTAAGTGCAAGAACTCAATGTTCTAATCTCCAGCACTAGAATAATGTCTGGCACACAGTAATTATCATGTATTTCTTGACTAAATTCATAAATGAATTGATCATGATATTTAAAGGCATTTCAATGGATTCTGGTACTCACAAGTAGTAACACCTATTTCAATTACTATTTTTTAAATGTACAAAACAAAAATATATAGAAAGAATACTATGTTCAA